ATGAATGACATTGGCCACCTGATTGTGTCTGTGAGTGTAGTCAGTCTGTGTGAGAGTTGTGCATGCGCCTGTGATGTGTTGAATGGTTTCTGGATGTGTGTGGCATTTGCGACATTTGTCATTATTTACTGTAGGATCTTTGATTATATATTTTCTGTAATTTTTTGTGTTTATGATCTGGTCTTGAATAGCTATTATAAATCCTTCTGTTTCTGGAAATAAGTTGCCTATTTTCAGCCACTTATTTGAAGCTAACTTATTTATGTGGGATTGCTCTAAGTCATGAGGGTGCCGACCGTGGAGAACTTTCTTCTTCCATTCGTCAATTTTGTGTGTCTGTGGGTTATCACTAGTAGTGTTTTGGGATTCAATCCGATTGCTTAAGTTAAGTGGAGTGTAGTTAATATCATTCGTTACGATGGCTTTATGAATATTGCTAGTATGGGATTTTGTATAGAAGAATGATTTTAATCGACTAACTTGTTTCCGCCATAGGTGCTGGATATCCATTAGGCCTCTCCCTCCATGTTCTCGTTTTATTGTTAGTCTCTCTATGGCTGATTTAGGGTGTAGGTTATTGTGTTTCGTGAGTGTTGTACGTGTAGTTCGCTCTAATTGTTCTGCATCAGTTTTGGACCATTTTATAACTCCGAATGAGTACGTTAATATGGGGATGGCGTAGGTGTTAATGGCTTTGATGAGATGTTTACTTGAAAGTTGAGTTTTACAAACGGCGTTAAGTCTTCTCTTGTATTCCGTAGTGAGAGAATTTTTAATTCGTACGTGGTCAAGACTTTTAAGTTGGACATACCCTAAATATTTGTATAAGTCAGTCGATTCCATTGCTGTAATAGCCTCCGTTTCATTTACCACATAGTCGCCGGGCCTTACTTTGCCTCTTACAATGTGAAGTGTTTTACATTTATCTAAACCAAAATGCATATTAATATCGCTACTGAATTCTGTTGTTATATCTATTAATTTCTTCATATCCTTGTCTGTTTTTGCATATAATTTGATGTCGTCCATGTATATAAGATGCGATATTGTTGTTTCGTCTGTATTAAGTTTGAGGCAATATCCGGCCCCGCAGCTCTGCAGCAAATGAGACAGAGGGTTTAGGGTGAGACAGAACCAGAATGGGCTCAGGGAGTCACCTTGGTAGATGCCTTTTGTGATTGAGATTTGTCGCGTGGTGACAGTATTTTGGTTACAATTTATTTGTAGTGTTGTTTTCCATTGTAACATTATTCGGCGTAAGAAATCGATTATTTTCGGATTTATTCTATAAATTTCTAATATTTTTAATAACCATGAATGAGGAACACTGTCAAACGCTTTTTTATAATCAATATAGGTGCAATGTAAATTTCTATTTTTAGAGGTGGCGTGTTTATGAATAGTGGAATCAATTATCAGCTGTTCTTTACATCCCATGTGGCCCTGTCTACATCCCTTCTGTTCTTCTGCTATTATATTGTGGTGTTCAATGTGCGACTGAATTTTCTTTGTGATAGCAGATGTCAATATTTTGTAAATTGTGGGTAGGCAAGTAATTGGTCGGTATTGTGAAGGCCGAGGTGAATTTTTTGTTTTAGGTAGCATATAAGTAATTCCTGTTGCAATAAATTCGGGAGTGTTCTGTTGTCCTGTTATTATATCTGTTAAATTTCTTGCTAAAGGTTTGTGTAGAGACGTTAATTTTTTTGTACCAAAAATTATGAATTTTGTCTATACCAGGTGATTTCCAATTATGTAACCTAGCTGTAATGAGTGTTATGTCTAACTCTGTTACCTCTTCGAATTCCATTTCGTCAATATCTCTCCATTTTGCTTCCTCTTCAATTATCCAAGATGCTTTGTCGTTATGTTGTTTTTGCTCTTCCCAAATACTCGCCCAATATGCTTCTAGTTGTTCTTTTGTAGGTAGGTTAGGTGTATGTGTGTTACGTTCATCGATTATGTCTGTTTGTGGTTTGTGTAAGTTTCTATAAAACAATTTTTCGTTTGTGGCAAATCTGACGTTATCTTTTTTGCGCTGTTGTGCTTTTTTATACCTTTTGAGCCTATGAACTTTAAGTGCTAATTTTTGTTTTAACGTGTCTAAAAATTCTTCAGGTCTTGTGTTACTTTTTTCGTGTCTGGTATGCGTAGCATTATTCCTAAATATGACCTCTACTTTTTTGACTAGTTTATTAGATCTACAACCGTTAATATACTGAGTGAGTCTACCTATGTTTGCTCTTAATTTTTCAATGTCTTTTTCTAGTCTCTGTTGCCATGCTGGTTCTGTATTTTGTCTTGTTCTTGTAGTTCTTGCATTGTCTGTGATTTTAAAGTTCAATTCTTCGGATATTACTATCGCTGTGCAGTATATAAGTAAATGTATGTCTATAAGTTGTGTGTCATCAGATATATATTGTGTGAGTATAGTTTCATTAAATAAATTAACCAGTCGAAACAGGTTAGGTGTGTACTTAAGTTTAGGTAATCTTGGTCGCGCTGCGGGATCCATCCCAGAGTATAACGTTATTGTTGTTCTAAATTTCTCATTGATTTCTTGGATATATGTATCTGTTGTTAAGTGTTGATCTGGGACAACTATGGTCTCAATATCATTTTCTAGCGTTAGGATTACGGTTTCGGTTTGTGTGGATGTGTGTGATATTTGTGAATGGTCGCATGGCTGAGATTGTGTATAAATGAGTTGTGATTGACTGAGCAATTGTGGTTGTACTTGGCGATCATTTTCACTTGTGTTTTGTGTGATATTAGTTTCTACATAGCTGTTAGTCGCTTCTTCTTGAATTAATTGTGTTCGTACTTCTTCTTTTAATTGATCTATAACTTCTTGGGATAGAAGTTTATTCCTAACTATGGTTCTTCTTTGGTCTGAGATTCTTTGTTCTGAAACAGTAATTTCTGGATATTGTCGAGTGAAATGTGCGTGTAATTGTTGTCTGTACGTGGTCATATCGGTCTCTAATTTAGTAATGTATAGATAAGTTCTCATGATAAATAGATTTACTTCTTTACTCCATTTCATTCGAACTCTTGCTTTTCCAGCCTTGGTGGACGCGGGTAAGAAGGTAGATACCTCCCGCGCAGCACTCAAGGTCGGAGTAGGTGGAACTGTATTTAAACTAGTAATAGGGGGTGATGGAGGTGTTGGTGACGATGGTATGGATGGTGATGTTGGCCTCGAGGGTGTGTATGATACTGTGCTTGGACTATATGGTTCTACAGGGGTGTCTGTCCTGTCCGTCAGTCTGTCACCATCATCAATGAGTTCGGCTGTAGTATCTTTGTGGGTGGGAGCCCGCCTGTTCAACTCCTCACCGCTGACGGATCGCATGCTGTGACACCCAGCGTCAGCTCCAGGTGCACCCCGGCGATCGCCCCCGGGTAGCGGCCCTATACGTTTACTTTTAGAACGAGTCTCCATTTTATTTATGGGTTTCCAGAGCCACGTTAGCCACGCCAGTAATTTCTCATTCGTGTGTCCGCCCCCCACGTGATTAGATGGTCAATCAGGACGTGTGGTTGTTTAGGGGGCTTATTATTATTATTAATATTGTTATTATTAATTGAAACCAAAAAAAAACATGGTATACTTGACTATGCAGCCGGCCTGAGTGCTATTAAATAATAATAATACACTGTTAGCTAATGAGCAATGGGGTTTCGATGTATGAGTTTGTTTGAAATATTGTACTATTGAGGTAATACTTTCATGTTTTGTTTGCGTTCATTGTTTGAGCACGCAAAATAAAATACTGATAATACTGCCATACAAATATTTATATCTACTGTTGAAAGAGTGTGCGCAGAAATTGCATGACTTTAAAAAAAATAAAGGCCACAAGCGAGGACACAGTCCATTTATTGGTAAATGGATGCTGCGGCTCATAGACATCTGTCATCTACATCTATCCTAAACTAACCATCAACATGCAGATGTGTCGTCACCCCTGATAACTAAGATGGAACGCCTCGTTTACAGTAAAATGAGTCCCCAGTTCTCTGTGGTTCTCTACGCTCACCATACGTAACACAGCATCGTTCTGCTGTTTACGCTGGCAGTCTGTGAGAGCGTGGTCTCCCCGGTCGAACTGACCCATTTGTGCTGCAACCAAAATATAGCTGCAGCGTGTCTCTCCCATGTCAATACATTATGTCCATTCCGTTATTTATTTTCTTTCTCTCCATTCTATCATCGAAAAACAAGACACAGCTGGTCCCTCCATCCCGTTGTTATTTACTTAAGACGGTTCCCCTAGCGAGAGACCTTGAGCGTTCGGTCCCATACAATCCACGCGCTCTGGCTACAATATATCATGGAAAAATACGCCCGAATATTTGGAATTATTTCAATTAAAAGAGATAAGCGAACTTAAGAAATTAAATAAAACGTGTAGAATATAGATTTTTAAATTATCTATCCATTAGTGTAATTCTCAAATGATTAGAGCATTTCCTTTAGCAACAGATGCTTGTTATCAATAATTTTAGTCGTTTTTTAAAAGTAGATTTTAAATGTATTCATAACACAAAAACAAATTAGAACGTGGAATGTGATGATAGGATATCGAACATTAATAATGTGCTTTTAGATATGGCTTATTTCTCATAACGCTAATGTACGATAATAGTCTCTCGTCTCTGAAAAACGCACTTTTGCCAGGTTTTGGTCAGGGTAGCGCCTTAACATGAAATTGAATCAAACGGTTTGCTTCAGCTTTAATGATGCGAACAGCACAACAGTTGAATAACTTGCCAGCATCTGTTCTTCCATCCAATTACAATGTGGGTGTCATCAAGGCAAGAGAGATTAGGCTTTTGTTGAGCTAACTAGTGAGCACTTGCCGTAAGGTGGGATAACAGTGAAGCACTGGCTTTTATAATTAAAAAAAAATCTGTAACTATTTTATAGTTTATAACCTTTTTTGTTACAGGAGAAACACTTAACCTGATCGAGGTGGTACGCCAATCACAGCAGCATGACGTCGCGGTGAGTGTGTATCAATTGCATTAAAGGTTAATGTATTTTTTAAAACTGACCACAATGAAATAGTAAACAGATAATATAATAAATGAGTTATTAGTAAGATACTTTTGCCCCGTGTGAGTTTACCTCAGGCGCCTCTCGCGAGGATATGGCGTAGTCGATATTCTGACACTGCCATTTTACGGTAAACTGCCGTTACACGGTTACAGTGACTCAAAATAATTCAAGACTGCGGTTGCCAAACCGCTTGCCATGCGTGGCAACTATAGCAAATTAACCCCCATGAGGCAATCTACAGGAGAGACCCGATTTTTTTTTGCGCCCAAAGCAATATGGGCAACCCTGCGAAAAGCGGGGGAGGGAGGCGGTGAATGCTCATAGCATACCACGCAGCCGGCTGCGTGGTTATGTGGAGACTTTTATCCACTAAACACCGCCTTTAGGGACTGGCTTAAGGTGGAAGGGGGGCGAGACCCGATATTCAGTAGTAGGCTTTTATAGTCTGTGATAGATAAATGGATGGGATATAATAAATATGTCATGATCTAAATGGCAAAGTACATTATCAGTTCAAATATGCAAGTAGTCACAGAATACCAACGTAAAATACAGCTTAATGCTGCTGTGTTTTGTGTGGTGAGTGTAGAGAACCGGAGACCCTTTTTACTGGAAACGAGGCATTCCATCTCAGTCCTCAAGAGTGACAACGCATCTGCATTTTGATTCTTAATTGAGGAAAAATGTTGATGTCTATGGACCACAACATCCACTTACCATCTGGTAGACTGTGTGTCACCCTTATTCTATTAAAAAAATAACTATCCGGTTCGAACAAGGAATTATTGTTTGAACCAGATAGGTACATGAGTATTAAACACTGGCAAACGGGCGTTAATATTTTGGGCATAGTAATGTTTTATTAATTAGGTAATTAAAATAATTAAATTCGGTAGGACCAGAATTTTCAACATCCGTTTTATTGAGTGCACACAGACTATAAAATAAGTTTTATAATCTGAGTAAGTGATCTTAGTTGGTTGAGTAATGTTATGTTAGGGTCATTAAATTATTTAATTACACTTATCTATTTATATTTATTTGGTGATAATAAGCGCCGAGTTAAATTGTCGAGTTGCGAATACCTACTTATTTAACATTTTCCTTAAAAATCTTCGAATGTTTGAACTATTTCTTATATTTCTTTAATATTTGTTGTTTCATCTTAACGGGAAATATAATCTCAAATGGCTTAGCAAGATCCTTCGTTATGCCGAAAATATTGCAGCATTAATTTTGAAATAAATATATGGTAAAGTTGAGGATTAATGTTAAGGATTATGTTAGACGAAAACACGATTTCGTAAAATTTTCTCGATAGAAAAATAATCCAAAGTTACCTCCAAAATAAACAATAAACCGCTGTTATTCATAAAATACTTTAAATACGATCATGAAACTTTGCATACTAACCGAACTAACTATAAAGCAGTGCTTATGTTATTTACTTTTTTTTAAATACCATTATTTTCACTGTAAAAAAGAAATTACCTAAACTATCGGCCTCTTGAAGCGTGATTCCTGCCGCCCGGTCACTTCGCTTCGGCCTTTGAAGGGGGAGGTTGTGTCGCTTACGATCAGAATATACATTACGCAATAGGATGACGTAAAATTAAAATGGGAAATAACCGTAATAAAAATAAGAAGCGACTGGCCTGGCGTTAAGAAACAGGCATAAATATGATAAACCTAATGAAATAAGTATCTAATGACCTTTCTACTCACAGTATTAGTGATTACAAACATGTCGGTACATAACATAGGACGCGTGGGCAAGTGGGGACGAAATTAGAATTTGAGCTGATTTACTATATCCCCTTAAACTAAGTAACTAAGAAAACGTTTTAAGCATTAGTGTCTCTTTTTGAGTTTTTAAAATGTTTATTTAGTCCCGGAAAAGTCATTAGAAGCATGAAGACGCCTGATATAATTTTGTGTTAAAAACTGACCATATTACCAGTAACAAGGTCTTCATGGTCCATTGTTAGACAAGATAAATTCACACACGCGGATGAATTTATCGTATTCGTCATTATTAACAGGCAGATAGATAGAGGTTAGCTAAATAATCATGAATTAAGGAATGAGTTATAAATAGGCTAAATTAAGTACATATTACTATTCATGTTATTCATATAGTTGAATCGTATTCGTTATACCTTTAACCGATCTTCACAAAGTAGTGCCTAAATTTGCAATTCTACTATATATTCGTTCGTTACCTACTGTCAAAAGTCTACTGCTAAACTTATTCCATATTTTTAACGCGGTAGAGCCGCGGTGCATCTATATTATGGTTGTAACACGAATAGGTCGGCTAGACCGGGGTAGGACTACGCTCTAACAGAATACCAGAGTAAAATAGCAGCTTAATGTTGATGTTTTTCATATTGTGAGTGTACAGAACCGGAGACCCTTTTTACTGAAATCGAGGTATTCCATCTTGGTCTTCGGGGGTGACAGCGCATCTGCATTTTGTACTTAATTGAGGATAGATGTACATGTCTACGGATCAGAGCATCTACTTGCCATCAGGTGGACTGTGTGCTCGTTTGCCACCCTTATTCTATAAAAAAAACTTAAAATAATCTAGTTTTTTATTATTTTAAGTTGTTATTTCATCTTATCCAATTCATTTTCTACATGGGACATCGAAGAGATCATGTGATATATGATGGGGTAGTGGATTTTATAACGCCACCACTACACTGCAATTCATTGCTTACCCTGTACCTAAAGTAATAACTCAGAACTTAGTTACCAGCATTTATAGTGATCCCATACAGATATCAGTGATATTTTAAATAGTTCTAGTTTTACGTTCTTGAGTCACGCTACAGCTTTATAATGGCTGCAGCATGGATGGTTTGGTACGAACGGGGTAGGATCAAGCCCTCACATCCCTCACATTATCGTATACCTAGCCTCATGAATGATGTTTGGCCTGTACCTTTACCTGTGGCTGGCTTAACCCTGTAAAACAAATAGGAATGTAAGTCTATTGGAGCTTCTATTAAAATAAATAAAACGAAACCATTTTTACTTGCAACGGTGCAAATTAGTCTTGGGGTTACAGCGCATACGTCGTGGAATTTTAATTATTAGTCGAGGATAGATACAGGTTTCTGTAGGCCGCAACATCCTCTGGTCATGAGGTGGACCGTGTGCTCATAATTCACTCCTAGATCTCACCGACATTCAGAATACAAAATTGTACAACCGTTTTGTAATGGTTCAAGGATTATGCATTCTGCATAGGTAACCGGCAAGATAGATTGTAGTAAAATTCAGTCGAGAGAAATTAATTGAATCACGCTTTTATGACACAAGTCATCTGCATATACTCGTTCTGACTGTTCGTGTGAATACAAAACACTTTTGATATTTTCTCGTCTTCAAGAAGTAGTGTTTTTTTTTAATCATTATAGTAAGAACAAAGGAAATTTGATCATAGTGTGTTATCTCCATAGGTTTACACAAAAAATAAATCTTAACCATACAAAAAGTGCAGTCGTATAAAGCTACTTTTACGGATTTAATTACATATTTTAATAAGGTATTACACCCATTATCAAAAAGTGTTTTAAATAAATCCCAGAGAGATAATGAACCACTATAATTTTTATATATTTTTGTACCAAATGGTGCCATAAAAATACTTTTAATCTATCGTTTTAAGTTTTCGCGTGAAAACGCTAGCCGCCATGCTGTTCAACTCGTGACGTCACTTTCCTATTTTGCCTAATTTTATCTAATTTTGCCGATTTTGCAAAGGAATAAAATACTTTTTAATGTTTAATAATGAGTTATCTCTTATCATCTATATCTTTGTTGTGTTCTGCCTGAATGCAAAAATACAAGCATAAGAACGCTGTAAAAGTTATGGATTCGAGTGCTAACTGATTTAAATATCAGAAATACTTGGTTAAAACTGGCAAGAAGATACCCGAATACATTGTCAACAAAAACTAGACTATTGTTCTGTGAAGATCATTTTGATGTATGACTTATATTTAACTATCGTTTATACTTTATACAAAACAAAACATCATGAGGTGAAGGGTATCGCATGTCAAATTTTGTAATAAATTACGTTAACTTAGATATTATAACTAATGATTGCTAATGATTGTAATTATAAACTAAACTATGATAGCTTCTAAACTATGTTTTATTAAAATACACTGACCTGCTATTGTGTTTTTGTATAAACAGAAGTTGATAATAGGTACTTACATTGATGTTTTAACATTCCTCAAATCAGCAGAACAAAAATTTGGATTGCATGCAAAAAATTTTGCCACCATCAGTCTATTTATCCTTGGTAGATTAGTACGTTTTGCTTTTACGAATTCGTCTTCCATATGATGCCTTTTTAATAAAATTCGGTATAAAACTCAATAATCGTAATGATAATTTGAAAAATTTCGAAATAACAGCACATTAGCTAGTTCTCTTAATCAGTGACACAGAACACTAATATCCTCAGGCGGGATCAGTGACGTCACGCCATTTTGTAATATGGCGAATAGCGTTTTGCAGATTTGAGGCAAAAACAAAAGAAAGAATTCTTAAATTTTAAATATAAAATTTATAATGCAATTTTATAAATAGAAATCAATGTTTCTCGTTTACATTTTACAAATCAAATAATAAATATATTTTTTTGATTTTTTTACATGGTGTAAAATACCCTATTACGAGAATTAAACGCGAAAATTCCGTGAAAGTAGTTTTATTCGAAGAGTAGTGTTCACGTAGGTAAATAAAAGAAATCATTATGTAAACGAGTAATCATTATGACTTATTAAGCTTGTGCATTTATGTTGGAGAAATAAAACAACTGCTATTGCATAATGACTGCAATTATATACGCGTTAGAGCCATGCTGTCGCTATATTACAGTTGTATTGTAGCACGATTGGATCGACTCGACCGGGAAGGGACCACGCTCTTACAGAATACCAGCGTAAAATAGCAGCTTAATGCATCCTCGCTTTGTATGGTGAGTGTACACAAGGGGAGATTCTTAGAAACGAGGCGTTCTATTTTAGTCAGGGGTGTAAATAGATGTCTATAAACCACACAGCAGTCACTTACCATCAGGTGGACTATGTGCTCGTTTGTCACTCTTATTATATATAAAATACATAAACCGCAATGGATAAGTGAATTTTCTATATTGTCAGTGTTAACAGTTTGATGGCAAGAAAGAAAGATGAAGATCTGTAATGGGTATCCTCTCCATATGCGTGTCCTCAAATGTTTCTTTACGCCAACAGTTGTACGGGGTTGTGCTAAAGAAGCTTTTGTGCAGACAAATTACGTATATTAGTTACTTATGCTTCTATAACATTATACATGAGCTGTGTTGAGACTAAGATGGCAATTGGTTCTGTTCGCACGTTACTGGTTTCCGAACGCTTCTATTGACGAATGCTGCACGCACCGCGCGCGAACCAGCGCCTTAAATTAAAATTGATTTTATTGAACTGAAAAAGCCGTGTTACGACTTTTTAGCTCTATAGAGAAAATAAAACACCTGCACAAGCGTTCATATTTCACAAAAATATGCATAGAAGCTCCAAAACAATTAAAGTATAATCAGTGTCTATTTCCAGTTGAAAAGACAAGGATTGGAAGACTGGGCAGATGTATGTTAATAGAATACAATCCGGTTGACCTATAAATAACAAAAAAAAAAAAGAAACTAATCAATGGGGTGTTTTGACGAACAAAAAGCCCCTGAGTGTTTTTGTTCGTCAAAATACGTCGTGTCCGAAACCGTCGTCTTCAAACCATCGAAGAATGGTGTTTCGTGAGGGAACACTTCGATTTCGGTGAATGTTGAAGTGGCGACGGAACTCACATTCAACTGCTGTGACTCACTCGTTACTTTGGATAAAGGTTTCGTGTGCAAAACCACGGTGCTCCAACAACCACAGGTCCATGCCATGAACTGATAAACAAATGCTAAGACCCTATGAACCTAACGGTAGCAGGCCCACCCCGATCGACTATTCGGGGGATAGTGCTAGCCGTTTTAAAAACGTGCGCCTTCACTATCCCATCCTGCAAACATTTTATATGAACTAGATTGGCATATTTGGAAAATATACAGTGCTTGAACAGACCAAAGTGTCTCCTTTGACTTCCGTTGAATACAAAAAAAAAAATATAATTTAGGGGTTTTGGGAGATCATTCAACTGTAGATAATCCATGGTTGAACGATCTCCGAAAACCTATTATTCTTACTTTTGGTCTCACATAACCGTATGTAATTTAGGCTAGACCGTCTGTTCGTGCTGCTGGAAGCTGGCGCTGGTGCTGCGACGCGGCGGGCAGCAGCTCGGCAACTTGGCGAGGTGCAGAAGGCACACCCTGAGGAGTTGCATCGCCTGCTGGGAAGACTTATGACGTACCTGCGTTCTCCGGCTTGGGAGACTAGGATAGCTGCTACACAGGTGAACTTTAACGTCTCTGTCACTATCACTACAGCTCCTCACAAGTTCACTGGTAAACATAGGCCTCACTCCCTAGATTGTCAGGTATGGTGCTGAGCCACCTACATCCATCGACTACCTGCGTGTTTTATCAGAACGTCACTCCATTATTTTTATATAGGAAAAGGGTGACAAGCGAGCACACAGTCCACCTGATGGTAAGTGGTTGCTGTGGCCCATAGACATCTACAGTTTATCCTCGTTTGCGAATCAAACAAATGAAATGAAAACGCGGTGTCATTCCTTTTTCAACGACAAAAATGGAATGCCTCTTTTCCAGTATACAAAGGGTCTCCGGTTCTCTACCTCACCATACGAAACACAGCAACATTAAGCTGCTATTTGACGCTAGTATTCTGTGAGAGCGTGGTCCTTCCCCGGTCGAGCCGACCCATTCGTGCTACAACTATACAATTAATATAGCTGCAGCGTGGCTCTACCACGTAAAAGAATTCTATATAGTGGGGGACGCCCAACACTGTGTTTGCCAATACGAGCCTACCACACGAGAACTTTTATTCTGAATCGGTTATCGGTTCTTCGAGCTTTAAGTCCGGCCCATTGCCAATTCAGCTTACTGATCTGCTGGACTATGCCTGTTACTCTTGTTCTTCTACGGATATCCTCGTTCTCATACTTTGAGCTGTAATCTGGCAGATGTTGCTGCCCATGCCTCTTTATTTCCCTCTGTCGCCTCTTACGATACCCACGAGATGGTATGAGGGAGTAGATATACTTACATCGCCACTATTAGCTTATTTATAAAATTTGATATAGTATTTTATCTTTTTTCAATCTAGGGTGAAAAAAATTATAGAAATAAATTGCTGTTTTGATTATTTGATTGATAAAGATTTTAAATTAAACAAAGGCTAATCTTGACTCTTTTTACAGAATGTGGTTTAACGATAGTTTTAGGTTTAAAATATGATTTTAGTTTTATCTATATTAACGTACCAGACTTATCAATGTTTTAGTTTTTGGTTTTGGCCTATTTGCTGTTTTGGCCTATCGCCTATGAAGCGCACAAAAAAAGGTTTCTTGTGGTCTTAACTACAAATATTGTCGACCAAAACATCTATCACAGGTGGAAATAACATTTTAAATTTTTATTTATATTACCACACTTAAAAATCTATCAGTGTCCAATTTAAATTTAGAACAGACAGGCAAGGTGGCAACAGACAGAGCTGATTTTCCTAATTTTTTGACAAGTTAAGTACGTAATAAGGCTTATTTTACATCATCTTCTCTTCAGTTTTGTGATTTGCATGAATATTACTAAAAGTAGTAAGTAATAGTCTTGATTATGAAACGACCGAGGAACTACTTAAAATTCATGAAATAAAACCTAAACGCTATAAACACACGCGCGCGCACACACACACGCATACATATACACATTCACATATGGACACACACACACACACACATTTTCGTATATTTTTTTGCTTATTCTACACCTAATATTACCTGGATTATGAGTTAGTCTGTAGGCTGGTGATCTGTCATATAGGGAATTCTAGTACGGACACCAGTCTCTCACAAATTGATTATAGCATATTAATATTAAGTTGTATGTTTATGTTTTTTACTAAATTTGTGAGGAAAAGAATAAAATTTATTATTATAGTAATGCAACAAGCTATTAATGTAGTCATATTCAAGGTTTTTTATTAACGTATTGGACCGTCTTAATTAATTTAAATGTAGGTCAACAATTTTTTCTAAGGTATTTATTAATGTATGAATTGAGACTTTATATATCTTTTTATAACATAAACACGCAACATTTAAAACTTAATTAAGCAAGACGAATGCGGTCATGTATATTTGTGAAACTGGTTATAAAGGGGTCGAATTGAACGTGAAAGATATGAAACGGCTGGTTACTCTCAATTTTGTTCATATCGCGATAAACAATCTCCTTCATTGGTAAAGATATATCGTTCAATTATTGCGGTTAAATGTTGATAAAAATTTGCTAAAAACTTGATACCACCTACATCCATATTCTTTTTAATTATTTGCCGCATATAAATTTAGTTTTAACGCAAATGAGAAACAAGGAAAATAAATAATTAAAATTTACGCTTGTTCATGATTATTCGATCTTTCTTAGAATAAAACTCAACTCATAAGTATTTTAGTATGTAGGTTGGTGAAAATAATATTATTTTTTACAGCTCAAAGCGATTTTAAACGATACGTGGTTGGTTTAGCTGTTTACGTTTTATGTTTAGAGAAAGGAATAGGTTAATTTCTATTCCTTTATCTATTCCTAGCAATAACGCGATGTCGTCAGTGGCTTCTGTAATGAAAAGCCTAGCACTTGCTATCCTTTAGTTTGTCTAGAAAATTCTTCAGAATGTTTTTTTTTATAGAATGTGAGTGACCAATAAGCACATAGTCCACCTGATGGTAAGTGGATGCTGTGATCCATAGACATTCTACATCTTCTCGTTTGCGAATCAAAATGTAGTTCCGTTGTCACCCCCGAGGACTAAGATGGAATGCCTCGTTGCCAGTAAAAAAGTCTCCGGATCTCTACACTCACCACAGGAAACACAGCAATATTACGCTATTCTGCGAGAGCGAGGTCCTTCCCCGGTCGTGCCGACCCATTCGTGCTACAACCATAATATAGCTGCAGCGTGGCTCTACGTAATGTAAACGCTACACGTAAAGGGTAAACGATGTTCTGTTGACTGCCGTCTTTACCATTCCCTCGAAATTAAAGACGCTTGTCTTTCCACTACATTGCTGTTAAATCAAAATTTAAAATTACAATTTTTGCTATTAGTAGATTAATTATAATTTATTTTACTGAATGATTTCTTATATTTACGCGAACACTACACATTGATTAAAACTACTCTTACGGATTTTATTGCGTTTTCTTTATTTTATTTTTAATACCCGACGTTTCGGGTGCTTTCCAGCACCCATGGTCACGGAGGACTGAGGTGACTGACGTCCCGATGTCAAAGTTAACCCGGAGTACCTTTAGCTTTTTAATTATTGTCTTTGGTCCAATCTACGCAGAATGAACTAACTGTGTTTTGAAGTCTTGCAGTGGTATGCTTGGGTTGGGATTTAATTTTATTAATTATAGGATCCTAAGGAGGTGGTAGTACCCAGCCTCCTTCTCTATTGAAATTAGGATGTTTTTTAATTTCAATAGCCTCACGTATCATCCTTGGTAGGAATCGATGTTCTTTCGCGAGGATTTGTGGTCTATCAAATCTGATGTAATGGTTGGGACCATCTAGGATATGATCGCAAACTGCAGACTTCCCGGAACGTTGATGCTTCACGTCAGCTATGTGTTTTTACTGATTCACTCTCTCTTGCTCTTACGAGTGGTGTTAAGGATAATTTTCAGTTAGTTATCTTACTTTACGCTCATTCTTCTGTTAATTCCCATATAATACTCTAAAGATTAATTAGTCCAGTTTGTTAACTAACAATTTTAATTTCCTACGCAGGCTGTTGAGGCGATACTCTCGAACGTTCCAGAATGGCACCCCACACCGGCCACTGTGAAGAAGGGTAGGTAACTTTGTATTTTTATTTCGAGGTATATGTTAACTGTGTTTTTTAATATAAATTAAGGCAGTGCTTAACGTCAATCTTACTTGATGTTAAGTGTTTAATGTTGATGCAGCCATTCTTGTGTTGTCTTGTTTAGATAAAACCATCGATCACTAATTTTTATTATTGATCGATGGTTAAAACCCTAAGTAATCTTACCAGCCTCACTAAAATTATTGCAGAAGGAAGGCCTTAAGCTGCAATAACTGGCACAAAAACTAAAGAATTGCTCATGTTTCATTCGGCATTCGGCATATTCGTCAGATTTACCGAATATTCGGTTAAAATGACCGAATATTCGTTAAAGTGGTACTCAAAGTGTAATCTGTATTGAAATGTACAAATTGAGTAATGCCATGTCTTTCATAATTTTGTTGTTGAATGTGTATTTTGTTTATGGGTTAAGTGTACTTGTATAGTGTTATGTTATTGAGGCACTGTTATTTACAATTATGGCAAACAGAAAGCTTGATAAAATGTTTTTGGAATCAAACAAAGAAACATTACATTACATTAGTATATTTCACTTTATTTTGGTCGTCAGTTTCTCAAATATACATATGTCCAAATAGTAGATCTGCCACTCATTTTTATCATATAATTATCAATTTTTACTAAGAATAATACAACGAAATACTTTTTTCTTATAAAAATAGTCAACACAAGCATGTGCCGGCAATTTGCTCAATACTAGATGATGCAATATTTAACATGTCAGGTGTGGGGCGGGTTAGGGAAGGGCAGGGTCCGGCGCTAATTCCGCGCGCTTTATAGTAACAAGTTGAGATACCGAGGTGATCCTGCCGAATAATGTTCGGCCGAATATTCGATTCGGTAAAAGTTTTACCGAACTTTCGGCCGAATATTCGCATCCGGTGAAAGCCATATTCGGCCCACCTATTATATTTACAGTGTCAGGCGAGTGGGTCGTAAATGAAGAACGAACATCCACGAATTGCTGTGAACTTGCCACGAAATTATTAAAGGAATTTGCCGTGTGGTATCGCCCCGTTTCGTTTCATGGGTGTCGTAAAAGACTAGGGGAATAGGAACCTCGTTAACGTTATGCGTAGAATATCCAGACCGGCGATTGGGAGCAACGTCAAAGGTGTAAGACTGGTACTGAGACTGAGGAAAGCCAAGTTATGTAGTACTGTTATTTATTCTGTGGCCAAGTAGAATATTTGTTACGATCTCATGATGATGGTACCTACTAATGGCAGATCAGTCGTTCAGTAAAGCTTCGTTCGTTGGATTACAGGGTTTATCGCGCGTAGAAAATTTGATATAAGTAAATAATAAAAATTTGTACATTCCCTTTACGGGAGTGTAACCAATTTAAAATTTTTATTTTAAATTGGTTACATATATGGCGTATTTAAAAGGCGAGCGATAAGGATTTTGAGGCGACAGTAGCCTAATGGCAGGGCGCGGACCGCGAACTCAAAAAGGTCGTGGGTTTGAATCCGCCATTCGACTACTGGCGTGAACCACTCGTAACACAAGCAATTTAAGCTTACCACGAGTGGTTAAGGGAAATATTAGTAATGTTTATAGCATTGTTAATATTCTTTTTCTACAAATAAAAAAAATTGTTGCAAAAAAATTAATCTGTAAAGGTTTATATTTAAGGGGAAATATAACCTCAAATGGCTTAACAAGATCCTCCGTTATGCCGAAAATATTGCAGCATTAATTTTGAAATAAATATATGGTAAAGTTGAGGATTAATGTTAAGTACTATGTTAGACGAAAACATGATTCCGTAAAATTTTCTCGATAGAAAAAAATCCAAAGTACCTACCTCCAAACTGAACAATAAGCCGCTGTTATTCATAAAATACTTTAAATAAGATCATGAAACTTTGCACACTAACTGAACTAACTATAAAGCGGGGCTTATGTTTTTTATTTTCTTTAAATGAACATTATTTTCACTGTAAAAAGAAATTACCTAAACTATCGGCGTCCTGAAGCTTGTTTCCTGCCGCCCGGTTCCAATTTTCGAATTTTCCTGTTCCGGATTTTTTTTCTATCGAGAAAATTAAATAGCTGAAAATAGCTGTTCATCGCGATTTCGCTCGCACGTAATTTATAACGATTGGATTTCATCGATTCTAAAACATTATTCGATTCTATTTCTAAAATAAAAATCGCCTAAGTTACTCCTTATTTCATCAGCTATCTGCCAGTGAGTTCAAAATCATTCTTGACATTTCGGAGATCAACCGGAACAAACAGACAGGCAGACAAAAATTTTAATTTAAAAAAAAAATTATTTCAGACACTTCAATTTTATTTATCTGTGTATAGATAATATATCTGAAACATGTATAAATATATTGGTAAAAATACTAGCTGCATATTTAGTAGAGATGGGCCGAATATGGATTTCACCGAACCGAATATTTGGCCGAACATTATTCGGCAGGATCACCTCGGTACCTAACCAATTTATGTCAAAACTTGTTACCGTAAAGCGCGCAGGATTAGCGCCGGACCCTGCCCCTCGCTCCCCGCCACACCTGACATGTTATTGCATCATTCAAGAAGCAAATTGCCGGTACATGCTTATATCGGTATATGTATTTCGTTGCGTTATTCTTAGCGAAAATTGATAAATATATGATAAAAACGAGTGGCAGGAGATCTACTATTTGGACTTATTTTAGAGAAACTGACGACCAAAGTAAAGTGAAATGTACTGATGTAATGTAGGTAATGTTTGTTTGTCTGATTTCAAAAACATTTTATCAAGCTTTCCATTTGCTATAACTGAAAATACCTCTAAAGATAACGCTATACAAGTGGATTTAATCCATAAATAAAATATACTTTCAACAGTAAAATTATGAAAGACATGGCATTACTCAATTCGTACATTTCAATAAAGTGGACACTTTGAGTACCACATTAACCAATGTTCGGTGATTTAGCCGAATATTCGGCCGAATACGAATATGCGGTAAAACTGCCGAATATGCCAAATATCGAATATGAAACGAATATTCTGCCCGTTTCTAATATTTAGCTTTAATAAAATAAAATAAAAAGATCACAAAATACAAAAATACTTTTAGAACTCGTCGAGTGTAAACAATTAAAGTATTCTATGAGTGTAACACACAAAGTAAAAGTAATAAATAAATACAATTTAAAATTAAGAACAGGTTTTAATGCTCGTTTTTATCTCTTCGAAATTACCTATTACTAAAAAATAGGGTTGAATCAGACTGAAATTAAACAGATCAGAATTAGATTTTATGTTTTGTAAAAACTACCAACATTGTTGTTTTTATATATATAATAATGATTTTAATTATACATCTATATATAACTTTTAGGTAATGGGTTTCCGCAAAGTAACGCCTTCATGCATTAGTTAAGTGCTTATGGCAATCAATTAGATGATTATTTGTGCTAATGATGTTTTGTTTTTTCATCAAAATTTTCCGACGACACGAGTTTTTGACGAGATTATTCGTTTAACCACGATTAATGGAACCTGTTGTTAAAAATCATGTGATTTGTATAAGTTATAATCATATGGCAATTAGGTTACCACAAATCTATTCTATACATATAAATAAGATTGAAGTGTCTGTTTGTAATGTCGAAATAACATATTTTTACTAAATGCATATGAAATTATATATGGTACTTACAACAAAAAAAAACATTTAGTTTTGTCTGTCTGTATGTTTGTTCCGCATAATCTCCGAAATGTCTGGACCGACTTTGACGGGACTTTCACTGACAAATAGCTGATGTTATAAGGAGTAACTTAGGCAACTTTTATTTTAGAAAAAGTGGAACAGCTAGTATCTTAAATAAATACTCGCACTCACGCCTTTGCTCATGTTGCGATCTGGTTAGGTACAATTAAAACCAAGATTGTTGTAAATATACAAAACATAAGCTCTATTGTCTAATTTTAGTCTGATTTGGGCTTAGTTGCTTAGTGATTAGATACAGTAGGAGTATGTAGGGCTTTATCGCCGTGACAGGGTGAGAAATTGTGTGATAAGAGAAGAGTGTAGTTTGCAAGATGATGTGACTAAGATTAAGAAAGGAATGCTTCGGTGGTTTGGTCATGTGGAAAGAATGAATGAGGAAAGAGTGACAAAGCAAATTTATATTGCAGAAGTGAACGGCAGAGGCAGAAAGGGACGTCCAAGGCGAAAGTTTATCGACCAAAGAATCATGCCCACTTTACATACATTGATTGATCTGTCACTTGATTCCTTTAACCGGTCGCGTCTACCTCCAATTACTGTTGTATAAAAACAATTATTGTTTATTTCATAGTCTGAAACGGAACGTCTAAAACACTTTTTTAATATATTTTGGCATGGCTTCTGGGCCTTTAAGCCATTGTAAAACACGTTCCGTCTCCAAAAGTCTATTGAGAATTATAAACAAAGAACATTACTTTTTTCCTGGCTTTATTTGAAAATTAAATTATCATTACAGCTCTTTACAAGTCCACTGCTGAACATAGGCCTCCCCAAGGTATGCCACAAAGCACGGTCCTGTGCCACCTGCATCCATCGACTTCCTGCATGTCTTACCAGGTCGTCACTCCATCTAGTGGGGGGTCGCCATACACTTCGTCTACCGGTACGAGGCTGCCACTCGAGAACCTTTTTTCCCCAACGGATGTCGATTCTTCGAGCTATATGGCCGGCCCATTGCCACTTCAGCTTACTAATCCGTTGGGCTATGTCGGCCACTCTGGTTCTAACTGGGGATATCCTCATTTCTAAGTTTATCACGCAGAGAAACTCCGAGCATAGTTCTCTCCATAGCTCGCTGAGCGACTTTGAGCGTCCTCATACGGCCAGCAGTGAAGGACCACGTCTCAGTTCCATATGTCATCACTGGCAACACGCACTGGTTGTACAACTTAGTTTTCAGGTTTTGAGGTATACCTGACGAGAAGATGTGCCGTAATTTCC